TCAGTGTGTGTTCATTGAGCAGTGTGTGTTCATAGAGCAGTGTGTGTTCATAGAGCAGTGTGTGTTCATAGAGCAGTGTGTGTTCATAGAGCAGTGTGTGTTCATAGAGCAGTGTGTGTTCATAGAGCAGTGTGTGTTCATAGATCAGTGTGTGTTCATAGATCAGTGTGTGTTCATAGATCAGTGTGTGTTCACAGAGCAGTGTGTGTTCACAGAGCAGTGTGTTCACAGAGCAGTGTGTGTTCACAGAGCAGTGTGTGTTCAGAGAGCAGTGTGTGTTCAGAGAGCAGTGTGTTCACAGAGCAATGTGTTCACAGAGCAGTGTGTTCACAGAGCAGTGTGTTCACAGAGCAGTGTGTTCACAGAGCAGTGTGTTCACAGAGCAGTGTGTTCACAGAGCAGTGTGTGTTCAGAGAGCAGTGTGTTCACAGAGCAGTGTGTTCACAGAGCAGTGTGTTCATAGAGCAGTGTGTGTTCATAGAGCAGTGTGTGTTCACAGAGCAGTGTGTGTGTGTGTTCACAGAGCAGTGTGTGTGTGTTCACAGAGCAGTGTGTGTGTGTTACACACCGTGGCACCCCCCCTGCTGTCCCTAGACAGCACAGTCTAATCTTTTAGTCACTGCAGCCGACCTGTTGCTCCTCAGCGTGTGGACGAGGGTCCATGGTTATCCTTTAAATACAGACTGTGGATCAATGGAACACAGCCACTGGACGGAGATTCTGAAAGTGGAATTTTCACTTCTCACTAGAAATGTAATCAAAAGCATTTTAACGGAGGAACTATCCTACAGTTTCAGATTTTCTATAAAAAATAAGTTGGGTGTCCGCCATGTTTTTTTTTCACTCCGGGAAAGTTGACGATCACGTGACATGGAGACTGGTCATTAGAAATCTATAGGAAACAATAATGTAGGCATGTCACCATTTGAGAGGGGTTTTGTTAACATACAGTACTACGTGTTGCCCTGTGGACCAAGCTAGATATTGGCCATTAATATGCTTTTTGCTTTTTGGATATTGCAGTGGTGCATATTGCTATTTCGATACTGTTGGATAAATTGTGCAGCCCTTCTTAGTATCATCTTGGGTATTATAAAGCATTTTGAAAGCAACTATATTTTCATCACACTGAGTTGTGTGATCTTTACAAAGTGTCGGAACATTAAATCCTCAGAAGGCGAACATGCCCTTGATGATGAGGAGGAAATAATGATTTGGAAAACAAAATGTGAAGCCTAACAGGAGAGGAGATGCAAGTCTTTAATATTTGCTCCGGCTGCTTTTGCATTAGTATGATGTTTTTCTTATCAGATGGTAGGCGGGGGGAGGAGAGTGCTTTGAGGCTGAACAAAAGAACAAGAGTCTGTTTTCCTCAGAGAAGAGTCAGAAGGGAGCGAGGACCGAGACAAGGAACTTTATAACCCCATTCTTCCAACAGGCCATAATTAACATGCACCACTTGGCTCCAGAACTAATTAGTGTTAGCATTTTGTGAGTGAGGTAACAGGCCAGCAGCAGCTCAAGGTTCTGAATGTTAGAGAAGAGAGCCTCCAGCAGCCAGGAGCCACAGAGATACCTACAGTGTGGATTCTGAGTACAGACCCGTGTTGGTTTCACTGTTAAAGTACTACAATATTGTATGTAAAGTACATGATGAGCCAAATTATGCTTAAATGATTTCCCCACAGTACCTCTTTTCATTTACTGTGTCTTGTGGCCGACAAGTTCTCATTCTTAGTTTTCTCGGGAAATGTCCCCACCACTTTTTGAAACGAAAGATTTTGTATCCATTTTTTTTTTAGCCATACATTGTTTCAAATATTCCAAAATTAGCTTGCACCACATCTAACTAACACACAAATGGGATTTTGAGAAAGTTGAACTAGCACAATAAAAAAAACATGCAATGCACTGTAAATAAAAACTGAAAAAAAATTCTCCCTCAGCCATTTCAAAAATATCCCAGAAACCGTGCCAACTTGATGGTGAATAACACCCATATTATTATTTTTTACATCCATACACGTTAAACATTGACACAGACTGTCAAATGATTGAATCCCACAGGATACAGAAACCATTTTAGGGTCAGTGTGCCATTTTTTAACAACCAGCCAATCTCACCCCCATTTCATTTCCTAAAATCCCATATCTGTTTCATCTGAGTCCAGTCTCTGACTCGCTGTTCTCAGAGCAGCAGAGGCTTGGCAGGACAGATCTCTGCAGGGTAGCTCAAAGCAGAGCCCTAACTTCACTATTAACAAACTGTCACCTTATAACTCAACCACAAAGACTACACATAAAAGTAGTGTAGCTACACTGTAACCACAACTCTAAAACCAAAAATACATGTGTAGTCATGAGGCTTATCATGTAGAAACAACTAGTAAAAAAACAGTTATTTACATAAATAGTTTTTATTAGTAAATAATTATGTTCAAAATAAAATAGTCCCTCCGTTGCCTTCTGCATAAAACAGGGAGGTGGTTGCTATGCAACAACACTAACAGCTAGCGAACATATTAGACAGAGAGCGTTGATCCATTATTTGGCTATTTATTTAGTGGGAATGCTGATACAGCATTCCAACTATATGTTATGCGACGGACAAAAAGTTTATTATTCCGCCGACTTATTTTGGACCTCTTCTCCTCCCACATTCAACATCGCAGAAACTCCGTTCAAACATCAAAACGTTCAGCTCGGTCGGGAATCGCAGGCTATTACTTTTATCATTCATAACTTTCATAATTCCAGAGATACATCCCATAATACATCACATTTTTAACATTTGAACTTTAACATTGCGCAGCTCGTTAAGGCAGAGTGCGTGATGTCACAGCTAGAGTGGAGCAAATCTTGATATTTGCCTTCATATTCTTTTTTAAAACTGCCATAAATCCCAAACCCTACATTCCTGAGACATCATTTTTCATGACAAACGTAGGAAAACATCTCGTAGCTTGAAAAATGACAAATAATTAAGCAAAATAATTAAACAAAATGCCTCTTGAGGGCATGAAGTGACAAAAACGTTCAACATGTCTCCATTAAAACCCATTGTAATTTCAGGCTGATATTTCCTCACAGCAGCAGCCGCACACCTTTAGTTAAACTGCCAAAAAGGCCACATTATTAACCCGAAAGTACACAAATATTACACTTCAGATACTCAACTTCCTTGACATGCTTCACGTTTTGAAATTTCACAGATATCTGTTATCGTTCTTCCACAAAACGTTCACATGTAAGAGCTCGTTAGCTCAACTATAAACACCTGTGTAATGGAACACGATGATGTCATCACTCCAACTGACAGCAGTCAGTTCTAACTGTTCATTTCATACTCACACACACTCTCTCTCTCTCTCTCTCTCTCTCTCTCTCTCTCTCTCTCTCTCTCTCTCAAAAACACAATCTCTCTCTCTCTCTCTCTCTCTCTCTCTTCTCTCTCTCTCTCTCTCTCTCTCTCTCTACCACCAAATCTGAAATCTCACCATATGCCGTTTCCATGGAAACGCATCCCTCGCCATAAAACACGATGTCCCTTTTAAGTCCTATGAAAATGTTCAAAAAGTGCTCAAAATTCACATGTGTGCTAACAGTCCAGCCGTGAAGACATCTACGAGACAGTTTTGAGATTTCTTCAAATGCCGTTGCCATGGTAACACAAGGCTCGCCATGAAACACGGTTTTCTCATAACTTCAGTGAAAATGCTCCAAACAGCCCAAAACTTCACAGGTTTGGTAACGATGCAGCCATCCACACATCTAAACGTATTATGGGATGTCATCAAATGCCGTTGGCATGGCGACAGATCATTCACCATCAAGTTAGTTCAAAAGTTTGCAGTTCAAATATTCTGCTGCTTTTCCAAGCCTTTTTACTTTCTTTTCTTCTCTCATCACACATTCAAGCCCCCAGTGTTCATGTATCATTTCAATCTAAATTCTTCACTTTCTTCTTACACATTACATTTCAGCATAGCAGTTTAGCGTCAGATTTTCAGCATAAAGCATTCCCACTAGCAATTTCTTCAGGAATTGCATTCTCTAGTTTACATTAATGTGTATGTTGCCGTTTATTGTGCACCCACTGAAAAACTGTCCAGCATCAGTAGCATGGCTTACGTGGTTACTTGTATAGGTTGAGGTTGTTCTCGGCTGTTGCTTGGCGAGAATATTGCTCCACTTTCTCCGGTCCCCGAGATTCGGCTTCCAGTAGCTCTGGAGAGAGCTTTCGCACCTGTGGCCACTAACGGTCATCATTTCTCTGCTTTGTTTCAAGACCCGCATCAGAAAGCTTTTGAATGGTGGTACTTTTCCAGTTGGTCTACCTGCTCTTCACGTAGCTATGCATGTCGTCGTTTAGGTGCTTTTTTTTCTGGAGATAGGCACTGCTCAATCCACTCCTCCATAGTAAGGCCACCCCGGATGTCGAAATTAGCCTTAAATGTTTCCATCTTAAGCTGTGTTAGTTAGTTAGTTTCGTAACGGACGTAATGTAACAGTTGTAACGGTTGTAGCTTTTCTCAGACGCGGAGGGATACCAACTTGTGAAAAGTAACTACAATTCTACCCGTGATATACGCTCATTATATCATGGCTAAGAACCAATCAGATTGCTTGATTTGACTTGTCCGTTTTATAAATATATATGTACTGTAGTATATTCAGTTACAGTTGTGTTAGGTGGGGGCGTTTAATGTAATTACATATGTATTTTGAGTGTTATTGTGAAGGTAAATACTACTCCTGACATTCCTCTTTTGTCAGCAGTATGCCGATATAATGTCAGCTGCTCTTAAATGACCTTCCCTCACTCCCCTCAGCTCACAATATTTAAAACCCCAGCTGCAGCAGGTCATTATTATTCATGTATACTGTAATTAGCATTTGTCCTGTTTTGAGTTCACCAGAAAAAAGCTTCCTTGTGTCATTTATCTATGATTGATTTTAAAATAAGTAAAGTAAAAGTGCCTTCTTATTCCTCCAAACAGGGATCAAAGTGATTGGTGGAGTGAAGGAGCAAACCGGAGAGGAGTTTGGAGTCTACGTCAAACGGATCCTACCGGGAGGCGTTGCATCCTACGACGGTAAGGGGTTTAACCTCGGAGCCATCATAGATTCACTTTATTGATCCCAAATGAGGACATTGCTTTGTTAGAGCAGCATGTAAACAAGGAATCGCACATATATTCAAAATAAACAATATGTTGAACAGTAAGTATATACTTATTATATATATATATCTTTAGAGTATCACTATCACTAAGTCAGCATACACTACTGTATAACAGAACAACCTACTAACATTTAAACATATTGCTTACATTATAAGTCTGTGATGTAAATGCAGATTTTATATTTATAAAATGCAACGAGGTACAGTGTGAGAACAATATATACAAATACATTTATTATGGTTATTGAAAGGATGTGCTGTCCCAGGTTTACTCTACTGCAGATCATCAGCTGGGGGTCCCGTGGTCTTTATCATCTCCTGCCTAACTACACACCCTCCATTAACCCAGTCACCCCCCTCTGATCTCACTTATACACTGTGTCCATCTGATGCCGAGGATCTTATTCGATCATCATTTCAGATTACTCTGAAACCATATATACAGTATTTCAGCAAATATATAGAATCAAGGGTCAGACTTTTGATATTCAAAATCAATCACTCACAAAAAATGTAATTATGTTTTTATCAAAAGGCTTTAGATTAAAAGCAACAAAATAACACATAAACAATCGGCATCAATGAATCAATAAAAAAACAAATTATTTGACATATTATTTATATACTTGAAGCTCCTCTTATCTTCCTGCATGTATAGTCTTTATTGAACATCTGTCATGTTGTGAACATGTGTGGCACGGTGCAGCTCGATCTTCAGACTGCAGAGAATACCCCGCGGTGTGTTTGAGGTCTGGATTTGGGTTTATTGTTCTGCTTGTCAGTTAGTGAAACAATGCATCCGGATTTACACGCTGACAATAATAACACAATATCATGTCTTATTGTGATTCATTGGTCCGCATATAAATAAAAGAAAGAAGCTCTGCACCTACATGTGAGTCCTCACAGCTCCCAGCATGCCCTGCAGCGCCCTGAGGGTTCACTGGAGGTCATTATCAGACCAGGTGGAGGGGGGTTCATGAAGGGGGTCTGTGCAGGAGTCCAGAGGCCTGTACTACGAAGCCGGTTCAACCTAACCTGGATATGTTTGATTTACCCGGCTTACCTAATCCAAAACAAACGCGCTCTCGCTAAGCGGTACGACGCTGGTTATCAACTCGTTAACTCAAGCCAGCTTTGCCCTATCTAGTTAGGTGCGCGTTCACATGAAAGGGGTGGTATCTGGAGCCTTCGACCAATCACAAACATGGATAAGCCGCGTACTGACAGCGCAGCGTCATACTTCCTTACTGAATGAAAAGTCAACTATAATATTAGACAAATATGAAGAAGTTAAACTTTAAACATCCATGACTTAAACACTTTATCCAGGATCAAAGCCACATAGCTGCACCTGCAAGGTGAATACAGCTGGTAAAAGAAAAAGTGTTTGAATGCGTACATGAACAGGTTTATGATATCACTAAGACACGAGTGGATCTGACTTTAATTACATTTGACTCGAGTGTTTCGTCAACTTAACGTGTTGCTTAAAATAACACTTCTGCATACAGTATGTGACACTGTGAGTGTTGCACGCCAGATACGGCTCAAGAAGCTGACTCAGATAAGGAGATATATGATACATTATGATGTGATATGATGTGATATGAATGATAATGGGACACATCGAAGTCTGCACTCACTGTGCCGCGGACTGTACGTAATGTTACTTTGATCCGGTTACTTGTGTTGTGGCAGATATTTAAGTAAGCGTTCTTAACGCTAATGTTATAATAGTCAGATTGCTCTGAAGATGGGAGGTGATATTCTATTAATTTCACGTTCACACAGTCGGTGATTTTTGCCGGCCGTCTTTCCTGCAACGGCAGTTTAAACTGTATTTCCTTTATCCTGTAATATGATTTGATAGCTTTAAACTCCGCACAAGGAGCTCTGATTGGTCAGCAGGCGGTGCTTTCACTGACTTGATCTCTTATCCTGGAACCTAACCTGCTCCGGAGCAGGCTAGCCGTTCAGCATAAGTTACCATGGAGATCTAGCCCGCTAAGAAGTGAACCAGCGTCGTAGGACCGGAAACCCAGAGTTTACCCTGAAGTTACCTCGCTAAGCCAAAATCCGGCTTCGTAGTACAGGCCTCTGGTGTCCCACTGGACATCTGATCACCTCTGTCCTTGACCACAGATACTCCTCTCTTCTCTTCTCCTCTCTTTTCTCGTCCCCCTCTCCTTCTCTGTCAGGGGCAGATGGTGGTAGAAGGTGTGATCTTAATGTAAACTCTGAATGCTGTAGTGAGCAGCTGTAGCAGCGGACTTTCAAAGATTTAAGATTCTAAATGTTTTATTGTCATGTGCACAAAAGCTACAGTGTATTTGTTGGCAATACAAATGTGAAATCCCAGTCTACTCATACACTAACACTTAAAGGTGGGGTATGTAATTTATTTCAGAAACACTTTTTGTTATATTCCAAGGTGGGGTAGGTAAGTTTGAGAAATCGGCTCGAGATACACTTTTTGTTATATTCCATGGAATGCTCTTAACATCCCGATAGCAATGAATATCTTAAGTGCTTTGACAAAAAATCCATAAAAAAATGTCATCTGTGGAAGCCGTAGTACTGTAAAAAGCACGACCAATCATCTGAGCCGGCCCGGCTAAAATAACTGGATGGCCTACCTGCCTGTCAGCCTTCCATCTGTGCACAAACTTATCTCGTGCCCTCATTGGTCATGTGCACGTTCGTGTGTGTTGGAGGAGGGGCTCTGTAAGGAAGTGGCAGATTTTCTCCAGTTGTGTATTTTCAAATTCTAGCGCACTCGAGCTGGTTTCTCCAAAATTACATACCCCACCTTTAAGCAGTGGCGAGCCGTCAGAGCCCTCTAGGCCCTCTCTGAGGGCCTAAGATATTCTACAAAATAATATTTAAAAACATTAATATGTTATATTTTTCATTAGTTTTACCAAAATAACTTGATTTAATTGTATTTAAAATAACATTTCCAAATAAATAAATCCTTCGAATCTGCCTGTTAAGTTTCTGTTTGAATGTGAAGGGTTAAATGAAAGAAGCTCCTTTAGCCGTCTCTGCGAGTTACTGTGAAGAGAGGAGCTGATTGGTGGTCCCTCTGTACATTCACAGAGGGCCAGCTAGGGTAACTCAACGAGAGAGTAATGTCAAATGACAGTACAATTGACCAATCATATCTTCCCTCTAAATGGGTGGGTTTTATTATCGCAGACTTTATGACAAGTTCCGCCTGTCACTACCCGATCTGTCCCCCTGCCCGATCTGTACTGCGCATGTGCGAGATGGTCCGCCATATTGGACAACTACATACGGCAACTCTACTAGGACACTTGACACAGTGGCTTTTGGCAAAGCAGAAAAAGAACGAGAGAGATTATTGTTATTACAACGTGACTTCACTATTATTTAACAACTCTTTTTATTGGGTTCTTTTATTTGGGGTTAAGTACATTGTCAGAATAAGTGAGAAATGGATTTAACTTCTGTTAGACAGCTATCATACTGAATAAACATTTACTGTGAATGTATGCAAAAATGTATGGCATATAGCTGTCTAACAGAAGTTAAATCCATTTCTCACTTATTCTGACAATGTACTTAACCCCAAATAAAAGAACCCAATAAAAAGAGTTGTTAAGTAATAGTGAAGTCACGTTGTAATAACAATAATCTCTCTCGTTCTTTTTCTGCTTTGCCAAAAGCCACTGTGTCAAGTGTCCTAGTAGAGTTGCCGTATGTAGTTGTCCAATATGGCGGACCATCTCGCACATGCGCAGTACAGATCGGGCAGGGGGACAGATCGGGTAGTGACACCGCCCGCTGTGAAGCTTTTCTTGTTTCCATAGCAACAACAACTTCCTGTCATCAGCGTAAACTCGCCTTCAAAATAAAAGCATGCCAAATTACACTTAAGACATACAACTGCAACGAAAGTAACAAACACAATGCAATATCATTTTCAATTTCAAAGAACACAAATTGGGTTATTTATAGGTGTTGTTTTGTGTGGTAGAGGGTTGCTTTCATTGATGCGTTTTGCACCCCGGGCCGTTGTTTTTCCGCTGAAGTATACGCTGTGACGTAATAACTCTTTTTTTTCTTCGAGGGAAGGGGTGGGGGTCAGAGGGCCTAGGTATAACTGCTCGCCACTGCCTTTAAGACATGAAGAATTAGCAACTGAAACAGTGCAATAAGAAATAGTGCAAGTGATACAATGGTGCCAGTAAAATGCAGGAATAATGAAGCTATGTATATCAAATGAAATAAAAGTATAGTATAAATACTCTACACTGTAATGATAAATAATACATCTCCTCTGTGGCAAGTGCTGACAGCGCCAGATGTGCTCCTCAGTCCAAACAGGGTTCTGTTCAGATGATAAGGCTACATGAGAGATACTGTATGTGTTAGGATTCTGTACGGACAGTTCACAATAATACCTGAGCTTATTTTCTAAAAGGTGTTCAAGTTGATACAGAGTGAAGAATCATGTAAAGCATCATAGTACTTTGATCACCTGCAATAAAAGGTGCTTTTGATGATTCTTGGAACAATTACACATCTTGTCAAAGATTATCAAGCACTTTTCTAAATAAACTCAGTCTACAGGTGTATATGAGCTCAGCTGTAGTTCACCACATGCATGAATTGTTGCTCGATTGTTTTGAAGTGCATGGAGCCTGTCGGAGGAAAAGGTTTTCTGGTGAGTTTGGAACATTGGTTTAGGAGAAGACACTTTCGGACTGCAGTCCACTTTCATCCAGGCTGTACTCCATGACAAAAAGATGAATAGCCTGATTATCACGAAGATCAGTGAAAAATAATGGGGGAAAGTTTTGGTAAAATATTTAAAACGTCTTCTTCTACTACTGACTTTATTCATGTCAACCAAAGGCGTCACATTGGTCTGGTTCAACATGC